GACAGCGCCCCGGCCCTGTGCACCCCACAGACACCCTGGAGGGAGGTCCGGGCCAGGCTCCCCGAGGCTCATGCGGGAGCCGTGAGCTCTGGGGTGCAGCCTACGGGAGCCGTGAGCTCTGGGGTGCAGCTGCCAGCCGGGTGCGTGGCGTCCGGCCACCGTGAGGTCCCCGGTGCCAGCAGCCCGTCCCTGTCACCTGTGCTTTAAAATTTGCAGCCAAGAAGCCCAGAGCACCGGCCTCTGCTCCACCTTCCAAAGCCGGGCCTGGAGGAGGTGCGGAGGAGGAGGAGGGGAAATTAAAATGAAGCCACCCTGGAGCCGGGCGAGGCTGGGGAATCCAGGCCCCCCAGCCCCCCCAGTCTCCCCGGGAAGGCTCGCGGCGGGCGGCCGCCAGCGCCTCATTTTTTCCTGTCATTGTTTATGTAGCCGAGGTCCACGGCAAACGGCGGCGGCTCCGTCCGCGGGAAACAGCTTTGCTCCCTGAAAAAATAATGTTTTTCTTAAATAAAACATAAAGCAAAGGTCTCATGATTAAGGCTGAAAGGGAAACCCTTGTAATGGTGGACATCTGTTGCCTACGAGCAGGCGGAGAGGCCGGGCTGCCGGGGGAGCCAGGAAGGGGGAGCGGGGAGACGGGGAGAAGGGGAGCGGGGAGAAGGGGAGAAGGGGAGCGGGGAGACGGGGAGAAGGGGAGCGGGGAGAAGGGGAGAAGGGGAGCGGGGGGGCGCAGAGCCGCACGGCCTCTCGGCCGCTGGGCTGGGAGCCTGCACCTCAGCGTCCAGGCAGGGGCCAGGCCGTGCCGGGGCAGCCCAGTGTCCACCGCCAGGGCCTCCCGGATGACCACCCGGCAGAGGAGCCGCCTCGCCGGCCTGACCACGCAGGCTGGACCGGGAAATCCGCTCTCCCGCCCGCCTGGCCACGATGACAGTCCTTGAGTCGATCGATGAACACCGCCCGGGAGCCAGGGACAGACACTCGGGGCAGGCCCGACATTCAGCCCGGGACCGGCCGGCCGGAGGGCGGGCAGGGAGGCCGCTGTGATGGGCACAGACGGCTAGCAAACCCCAAACCCCGGTCGATACCCGTAAATAATGAATGTGTGAGGAGGCGGCGGCTCCCGGCCTTGGAAACCGTCAGCCCCACCCACACAGACATTGGCCAGGGCCGGGGGTCCCCCAAAACATTTCCGAGGCGCCGGTCTGCGTGAGGAATGACTGGGGACCCGGGGTGCGGGTGGAGATGGAGCTGAGGCCCAATGCCCGAGCAAACTCCGGCCGGGGAGGCCGAGGCAGGAGGGTCTCTGGCCGGGTCTGTGCTCAGCTCCCAGCCCGACCGCCCCGCCCCGGGCAGGCGAGAAATGTGATTGAAAATAAATATGTTTGGATAACGGGGAGCCGGAGGAAGCAGCCCTGCGTTTGGAGGCATTGAATGCATCACATGTTAAACATTTGAATATTCATGGCGTCCTCTGCCTGGGCTTATAAATACCAGAGAGGAGACCGGAGGGAGAGACGGTCCCCCAGCAGTCACCCCGTGTCCAGCAGGGCCGCCGGCTCGGAAGGGGCACCTGGGCGGGGACCCCAGTCCCTCGGCTGCCGGCCGAGCCGTGACCTTCGCTGAATCTGATGCCCGCATCGGACACTGGACACCGGCGGTAGGCGTCCTTCCGCCCATCTGTCCGTCCATCCGTCCGTAGCGACCTCCGGAGGCTTCCCGACCGGCTCCCCGAGGTGCCAGCCGCCCAGGCGCCCCCGGGACTTCACTGTCTGGGGGAAGGGGAGAAGGAAACCCGCCACCCGATGCTGCCCGCCGGCTGTGTCCACTCAGCCACCCGCTGGACGCGCCCAGCCTGGGGGGGCCCCGTCCCGCCCCCGACTTCAGCCCCAGGACCCGGCTGGGGTCCCTGCCCTGGTGCCGGGAGGACAGACGGCCGGATGGACAGAGACAGCACCCCCGCTGCGGTCACGGCACTGAGGACGGGAAGGGCGGGATTGGGGAGCCAGGCTGGCACCGGGCAGGGACTTGGGGCGTCCCTCCCTCCCTCCCGTGAGCCCCCCGGGCCCGTGCTCTGTCTCTTTCTGTTTCTTTCTCCTCCTCCTCTGTCCCTCCTAAACTCCGTGCCCCTCCTTGGCTCCCTTTTCTTCCACGGGAGGCAAAGCCTGTACCCCGACCTCCCCGGCCGGCTCCCCGGGACCCGGGACCCCGCATCACCCGGCACTGGGGCTCAGCAGCGCCCGCCCGCGGGAGCCAGAGTTCCGCTCCCTGCTGTGATAAGGCCCTGCGGCCACGGCCGGGCCTCTGCGAGCTGCCAGCGGATCTGGGGCACCAGGCCAGGCAGGGGTGCAGGTCCACCACCCGCGCTGCCCCTCAGCCTGCCGGGGGCTGCTCTGGGGGGAAAGTGGGTCCCTGGTGCCGTCACCAGCGCCGGGGTGCTCCTGGGCCGTCCGCGCTGACAGGCTACGGGCGGCTCCCTCCTCCTCCCTTCCTCACTGACGAGGGTTCAGGGGTTCAGGGGACCCCGGGCTCCTCCATCCCCCGAGGCACGGCTGTGAATTTGCTCTTCTGCAAGACTCAAGCTGGGTTCTAGGAAAGGTGACCTCGCTCAGAGAGCCCGTAACTTTGGAAAAACAAAATCAAATAAATAAACACATAAATAAATAAAATAACATAAGAGGAGGCCGGGGAGACCGGGGAACACGGTGGACGCGGTCACCTCTGATGCTTTCTGTTTCTCTGAGGGAGGGTCTCACTATGCAGTCCAGGCTGGCCTCAAACTCACAGAGACCCTCCTGCCTCAGCCTCCCGAGTGCCGGGATGACGGACGGCCACCACACGCCTGGCTTGGATTTACCCGGATTTTTTCCTAAGGTGTCCACTTTCCCTTCGTGTGGCCAGGTGCTGGGGGAGCCCTCCAAGAGGGCATGAGCCAGGGGTGCAGCAAGGTGGGGCCTCTTTCAGGTTTGGGGACCCCTGTGGAGGCAGGGCCAGTCTGCTGGGGTGCAGTGACTGGTCCTCACTGGACACTGCAGAGACAGAGCCCTGGACCAAAAGAGAATTAGTCTCCCCAAGCCTGGGTCCCCCCCACAGTCCCTGTGGCCTGGATCTGGTCTGCAACTCTTGGGGTGTCTGTCCCTTCCCTGCTCCCCGTCAGGCCTCTGGGGCATCTGTCCCAGGCACTCGGGGAGGCTGAGGCAGGAGAGCTGCAGGTTCAGCGGCCCCTCGGGGCTCCAGATCAAGGGGGACCCCAGGGTGCCCCCAGGAAGGGTCTGGGTCTCAGCCCCAGGCGGCGCAGGCCCCGTGCCCATCCTGAGCCCCAACCTCTGCACTTCTGCCTCGATGTCCCCCCGCCCCATGGCGGGGTCTGCATGGCGCCTGCAGGGCTGCGTCTGGATCTGCCCGACAGGGCTCAGGAGGCCCCCCAAGGTGGACTTGACCCCGGTGTCCAGGTCGGCCGCCCACTCGCCTCAGAGGGCAAACTGCTTTAAGGGACCCAGAGTGGACAGGTGGGCGCGGCTGTGCCACCTGGGCAGGGATCGGCCCAGAGCTCCAGGAGGCCGAGGCGGGAGGGTCCCAAGTTTGGAGCCCCCCATCCTATCCTGTTCCCCCAACGCCTGGCTACTTAGCAACTTGGTGAGACCCCGGCTCAGAAGGGAAAATGGGGTCAGGGCTGGGGATGTGGCTCACACAGCTCCGCAGAGCAGTCAGACAGACAGACAGACAGACAGAACTCATGAAAAAAATCAGCATTTCCTGGAAGATAACTGACCAGCGTCCACCGGTCCGGGGAACTGGGGTGCGCGGGTATCTTTTTTTTTTTTTTTAGAAAAACAGGGGCGTCAACTTTATTGACAGATGGCATTTGGGGACGGGGTGACAGTTTGGCTTCGGGGTCCTGAAAATGACTGTCTCCGGGCGCCATGGCCAGGGCCCGGGGAGCAGCGGTCACTCTGTGAAAACAGGACAAACAAACCCCCGGCACCCCGAGACCACAGCCCGGAGCAAAGCCCAGGCGGCGTCTGTCACTCCGGGCCGGGGGTGACCAGTGCGCCCAGGACAGACGTCACCAACCGGTTCTCTCTCGGGGACCCTCCGCGTCTGCGCCCCGGGCTTCGGTGACAGCGCCGCCCGCCTCCCCTCCGAGGTCCTCAAGCGCTGCGCCCGCGCCCCCGGGCACCCCCGGGAACCCCCGGGCACCCCCGGCGCTTTCCTCTGGATGTCGGGGTCCCCAGGGCGCGCGCCCTCGCCATCCGGCCGCGTCCAAGTTGGAGCAGCTTCGCCTGCGCGGCCGAGCGCACCGGGCTCCGGCTCCCCCGCGGGGGCGCACGTGGAGAGAGACGTTCCTGCCTCGGCCTCCCCGCAGGGGGCAGGAGGAGGAGGCGAGGCGGGGCGAGGCTTGGGCCAGGGGCGGCCCAGGCTCCTGGGGACCCCCCGGCTGCCGAAAGCCCCGCGTCCGCGGCACCGCGTCCGCCTGGAGTTTGGGGCCCGGCGCAGCCAGGGCGGGCGCGCGGTACCTGTTTGGGGCGCTGGCGCTGCGTCCTGCAGTGCGCGCGCGCTCTGTCTGTCTCTCTCTCCTCCTTCCAAAGGGGGGGCGGCGTCCTCTTCACCTCTCCACGCCGAGGTCCGAGACGCCACTCGGTGATGAAATGCGAGGCCGAGCCCAGTGCCGGGCCTGGGGGGGCCGCGGGTGGGGCGCGCGGGGGCGAGAAGGCGCCGTCCCCTCTCCCCGCGCGTGCGTCCCGGCCCCGCCGCCGCCTCCTCCTCCGAGCCCCGGAGCAGCCGTAATTGCTCGAGACAGGGGCGCAGGGGGTTGGGCGAAGGTAGCCGCGTATAAATAGTGAGATCGCAAATTGCGAGGCATAAATAACGGCGGGGAGGGACTCGCCACCCGCGCCCAGCCGCAGCCAGCAGCCAGCGCCGGCCCGCGTCCTCCTCCTCGGTGCGCGCGGGGAGCGGGAGGAGGAGGAGGAGGAGGAGGAGGACGAAGAGGAGGAGGAGGAAGAGGAGGAGGACGAACAGGAGGAGGAGGAGAAGGAGGAGGAGGAGGAGCGCGCGGACCGCAGCCCGGCCGGCCGCCAGCCAGGGCGCACGACCCCCGCAGCCCCGCGCGCTCCGGGGTGGCCATGGAGGAGCTCACCGCCTTCGTGTCCAAATCGTTCGACCAGAAGACCAAGGAGAATGCGGGCGGCGGCGGCGGCGGCGGCGGAGGCGGAGGCAGCGGGGCCAAGAAGGATTCCATCACCTACAGGGAAGTTTTGGAGAGCGGACTGGCGCGCTCCAGGGAGCTGGGCACCGCGGACGCCGCCGCGCTCCAGGACGTGACGGACGGCGGCGGGGGAGGCCACTGTCCCATGCATTTGTTCAAAGACCACGGAGAGCTCGACAAGGAGAAGCTGAAGGAATTCGGCGCCGGCAGAGGCGCGGGGGAAGGTGAGGTGGCTGCGCGTGCGCGCGCGCCGGTTCCAGCCAAGTCCCCTGCGGCCCGGAGAAGCGCGGGCACCGCGGCGGTGCTGCTGCCGGGCCGGGGTCCTCGCTGGCCCTCGTGCGCGCAGGGAGGAGCAGGCGGCGGGGTCCCCTGGCCTCGCCCGGCCTCTCCTGGCCTCCCCCGGCCTCGCCTGGCCTCTCCTGGCCTCTCCCCCGGCCTCTCCTGGCCTCTCCTGGCCTCCCCCGGCCTCCCCCGGCCTCGCCTGGCCTCCCCCGGCCTCGCCTGGTCTCCCCCGGCCTCTCCTGGCCTCTCCCCCGGCCTCTCCTGGCCTCTCCTGGTCTCCCCTGGCCTCGCCTGGCCTCTCCTGGCCTCCCCTGGCCTCTCCTGGCCTCCCCCGGCCTCCCCCGGCCTCGCCTGGCATTCCACCCCCAACTCTTGCAGCAGCAGAGGGTGAGAGGCTACATCTGGCCGGGAGAGGCCTGGGCCCGGGGTCGCCAGGGTTCCCTTGAGGAAAAGCAGCTGAGCAGGAGGACGAGGTGGAGGAAGAGGAGGAGGAGGAGGAGGAGGAGGAGGAGGAGGAGGAGGAGGAGGAGGAGGAGGGAGGAGGAGGAGGAAGCGGGCGCAGCATCCAGGGCGCAGACAGCACAGACAGGCCAACACGGGGAGCCCTGGGTCCAGGCCGGCCGGGCCTCAGGCACTGCCCGGTCCGCAGCGCGAACTTTCCCGGGCTGAGCCCCCAGACTTGTCTGAAAGGATGCAGCCGGGTCTGTCTGTCTGTCTGTCTGTCTGTATGGCCCACACAGAAAAGCTTCACTTATCTCTCTGGGGACAGGGGGGCTTCTAGCTCGCCTGAGCCAGGAACAGGCAGGATTGGGGGCGCCCCAGCTGCCCGGAAAGGATGAGCTCCCCGCTGTCAGGGTCCCCTTCCCGGGGAGGAAAACTTTCCCCTGGAACCCGGAGACTCGAGGTTGGGTTTGCAAATTAAAACCACTTGTGTGCCGCGGGTGGCCGGGGTCTGGCGGGGAGGCAGGTCCCCCTCCTCCTCCTCCACCGCCTCCTGACACCTTGGTGACGGAGCTGGGGGGAGCCGCTGCCAGGCTCGGGGGCTCGCAGGCCGCACCAGTCGGTTAGACATCTGTGGTGCCCCGAGGGGGCCGCTCGTGGGTAGGATTTGTATGGATAAGAAAAGATGCATCCCCGTCCTGCCCCGCTCAGAATGGGGGTGTCAGCGTGAAGTCCCCAGTGTTCGGTCCGGTTCTAGCTGGAACCCGGGTCTCAGTCTGGGGCTTCCTCTTGGGCCTGCGGCTGGGGTGTCAGAGTGTGGGTTTTGGGGCTGAAGGATGCAGCTCCGTCGTACGGGGCTCCCCAGGCCTTGTTGGGCCAGAGCCGCTGGCAGCCCAGGAAGTGGCGCTGGGCGCCGAGCTCCGGACCTGGCCCCGGCTCCATCCGTAAGGGCGGGCGCCCCGCCGGCCGGCTCCGCACCTGGTTCTGGGACTCGCACAAAAGAGTTTTTGCTCGGGGCCTGGGCACCCGCGTCCCCACCCATCGGAGGCCCGAGGTCTCCTGCCCCACAGCTGCTGGCACCCGGACAGTCCGGAGGTGCCACCCGGAGGGGCAGAGGGAGCCCCGCTCAGCAGGGGCAGCCCGGAGCAGGCCGGGGTGGAGGCCTGAGTTTCTGCTGTGACCGTCCGGCCGGCCGGGGCTGCGATTCCTCGGGAAGGCAGCAGGCAGGCCCGGTGCCCGCCGGGTGTGGTGCTGGGGTCCTCGGGGCGAGGAGAGGGAAGGGGTGTGGTACACACCAAGGACCAGCACAGGCGGGCGGTGGGCAACGGGCCGGTGTGGCGGCCTCCTCCCAGGCCGCAGGAGGGAAGGGTGGCCAGGCTGCCCGGGGAGGGGACACTTGGAGAAAGACAGGGACTAGGTACCGGGGGGAGCCCGGCCGGCCGAGGAGCCCAGGACCAGGGTTTCCTGTTAGTGGGGCTGGTGGGCACCCTGGAGGCCACTCGTGGGCGCCCGCAGCTCTGGGGAGCACGGTGGGGTCGCCCAGCCCGCCGTCCTCCCTAAGCAGCCCCGTATCTGGGCCTGGACCTCTAATTAGAACAGGGGGTGATCCCTGGGGCAGGGCCAGCCGGGGTGCCTGGGACACCCCGGGAGCCTTTTGCAAAGCCCCAGCTGGGCCTGGGACGGTTTATAAGTCGGGGGACGGGGACCTCCGAGCCGTGCTCTCTGTTTGCCTTGCAGCCCTGGCCGCTCTGCGCCTGCCCTGCTGAGCCCCTAAAACCGGGACCCAGTGGGGTGCAGTGCGTGGGGGAGCCAGAGAGCTCTGGGGTCAGGGCTCCCCGCTCAGCTGCCCGCTGGACATCCGGACCGGCCGGCTTTGGGGTCAGACAGGGAGAGGGACACAGGAGGGAGAGATGGGCCGAGCGGGGCTCCAGGACAGCGAGGGGACAGCGGCCCACGTCCTCGGGCGACTCTCCGGAGCTCCTTTGCCTTAAGAATAATATTTAGCTGCGTTGCTTTCCAAAAAAAAGCCCAGCTGGGGCCGAGTCAACACGGCCAAGTGGATAATTGAGGAAACGCGGCTGAGCCGCAGCCAACACACGGAGAGGCCGCGCTGCGCCTCCCTCTCCACAGGGCGCGGGGCGCGGGGTGCAGGGCGCGGGGTGCGGGGGTCCCCGGCTCTGAGCTGCGCGCCCGCCCTGGCGCCCGCAGGGCTCTTCGACTGCAGGGAGAAGCGGGAGGACGTGAAGTCGGAGGACGAGGACGGGCAGACCAAGCTGAAGCAGCGCCGCAGCCGCACCAACCTCTTCGACGAGACGCACTATCCGGACGCCTTCATGCGCGAGGAGCTGAGCCAGCGCCTGGGGCTGTCGGAGGCGCGCGTGCAGGTGAGGAGCGCGGTGCGCCCGGACACCCGGGCTGGGCAGGGCGCGCGTCCTGTCCCGTCCGTCAGTCTGTCCGTGTGTCCAGGGGCCGGGCTCTCGGGCCGAGTCTCAGCGTGCGCGCCGGGCCGTCAGGACCTCCCGGAGCTCGGTGTCCCTGCGCGGTGACCTCCGCGCCTCTCCAAGCTCCCCTCTCCATGCCGGGGCGCAGAGGCGGGCGCGGCGGGCTGCTGAGGGGCGCTCTGCACACGCACACACGCGCACACACACACACACGCGTGCGCGAGCATGCACAGGCGGGGGCATCTCCATGTGAGCCGGGCCACCCCGCCCGGGGCCGGATTAGCGCGGGGTCGCGGGCGCCGTCTCTCCAGCGGGTCCCCCGGGAGCGCGCGATTCATGAGGCTCCATCTGGCGCCCGGAGAGGCGGGCGGGGTGGGGCGCGGCGCAGTCAGTGGCGGGGCCTGGCCCGGGCCGAGCGTTTTGTGCTTTGCAAACATTTGCTTAAATGTATCGATGTGTCTGCTGGGCGCGCGCGCGTGTGCGAGCGAGCGCGGATGCGCGCGCCTTGCAGCTGCCAGGTGGCTGCGCCCCGGCCCCTGGTGGGGGACCCCGGCGCCCCTCACGTGTGAGCCTCGCGGAAGGGCTGGTGAGACGCGGGTCGGGGACCCGGAGCTCTGGGGAGCGCAGTCGGAGAACCGAAAAGCCAGGCGCGCCAGCGTCCCTTCCCAAAGCGGACAGCAAGCTGTGCTGGCCTGGCCGGAGGCTCACCGGTCACCAAAGTCAGGCGGGCTCTGTCCAGCTGCACTGACAGAGAGAAAGCATTTCATAAGATCTTTAGTGCCACGATCCGAGTGTGCGCGCGTGTGTGTGCACACGCGTGCATGCGTGCATGTGTGCATGTGTGTGTGTGTGTGTGTGTGTGTGTGTGTGTGTGTGAGCCCAGCCTCAGTGGCGGTGACAGCCAGGCTCCCTCCCTCATGATGCAGCAAAGCCCGGCTCGCCCGGGGCATCCTGGGCCCAGCCAGGCGCTGACAGCCAACCCGGGGGTCCCCCGGGCACCCCCACAGGCAGGAACTCGGGGCCACCGTGGAGACGCCCTTCCCCGGCCCGCCGGCCACCTCGACCCTCCTGGTGCGGAGACGCAGGGAGCCCTGGCTGCAGGAATTAATCAAAAGATTAAACTTTCGCTTTAGGGCACGTCAGGTTTTATGTCACCTGCGACTGTCCCCTGCCGGGGTCCCCGTAATAACCTTGGGCCTTGATGTACAGCTCCTATAAAAATAAATGACTCGTAATTGAATTGGCCACTCTTTCTTTGCAGAAGTCTATTACGCACGGCACAGCACGTCAGCGGGCCGGCCGGAGCCGAGTTCCCGGAGCCGGTGTCCCCGCGGGGTCCTGGGGTGCCCCGGACGGAAGCACAAACAGGGTCGTGGGGGGCCGCGGAGCCGGCGAGCCCCGGGGTGTGCGGGCTCGGGGCTGGGACGTGTCTGTGCATGGTGCCAAATGAAGATGGATCGATTTGGGGGGGCAGATTAAAAATTAACGACTGTAAATAATCATAAAAACAACCCGGAGAGGAAAGGCGTCTTCTAGGGCTGCAGAAAGTGCTCATAAAAATCAATTAGTCAAACCGGCCGGCCGAGGGGGCCGGAGAGACGGGCGGGGAGCGCAGGCTCGGGGTGGGGGAGAAAGACTCGGAGACACAGACATAAAAATGTTTGAAATTTATTTTTCATCCTGTCCGCGTCTGAGTGGCTCGACGACCGCTTTCTTCCCCGGGAAAAGCCCGTCTCGTGTGCTTAAAAGATAGAGTTTCAATTTAGCGGGGAAATTCGGTGTAAATAAATTGAGCATCCTACGGACTCTGGTCCTTATTAACCTCTTATTTTTGTGTTGTACTGGAAACTTATATCCCCCAGCTGTCAGCTCATAATGGGAACTTATGAGCGCCGGTGAGGGGCAGGCGGTAATTTAATTACAACAAATATCTTCGGGTTTATGGCTCAGAGCTAAATTAAATGTCATTATTCACTGTCTGTAATGGAAATCAAAGGGAAATCCGATTACATCCTTGTGGAGCGAAGGCCGCCGGCGGCCGGTAACGAAGCCGGCCGCGTCTCGTCTCCGAACTGCCGGCCGCACGTCGCTGAGCATATTCGGGCCTAATTGGAATTGATCGCCAATCACCCAGGACTGATTTATTAGCGCCCGACGCAGGCCCCCAGCCCTCACGTTTATTCATAATTTTATTTCCCTCCTCACCGCGCCCTTCTGCCCCCCAAAACCCAGCCCCACGCGGCCGGCCGAGGCGGCTCTGCAGGCCGGGCCAGCGCGGCTGCTTGCGGTCTGACTCCGGGTTTAAGCGCCACGTTTGCAAGAATTTAAATGAGAAAAACTTCCCCGGGAGGAGGAGGGCACAGGAGGACAGGACCTGGCCGAGCCTTGCGCCCGCCCGGGGACCCCGGTTTCCACGTGGAGGACTGGGGGAGCGGGGGACACACGGGACTCTTGGGTGCCGGCTGGCTCGGCGGGACCCCGACTGTGGTCCCCGGATTCGCACCGAGAGCAGGAGCAGGAGGCCTGCGGCGGCTGCAGGGAGACCGGCGGCCGAACTTCTGCTCCGAGTGGGCCAGGCCGGGAAGTCCCCTCCTTTGCTTCCTGCCTGGGGCTTTGGGGAGCGGGGTTCCCCAGCGGGGGGGACTTATTGTGCTGGCCTCGCAGAGGATGTGGGTGCTGATCTCTCCGCCTGGCCGTCAGTGTTTCTGCCCGCGTGGTGCAGGATGGGAGTGGGGGGGAGCCTGGTCCGTCTGGGGAGCAGGCTGGCGTGGGGAGCACAGGGCCCCACCGCTGCCATGGGCGCCCCAGATATCTGAGGGTTACAAAGGGTGCAGGCCTGGATCCTGGGGCGCCCTGGCACGGCTAGGACCCCGGCAGCACTAACCGGGCACCTGCGCCTCCGAATGGCCCCTCTCCAGGGAGCCGCAGTGCCTGGGGGGTCCCGGGCTCGACGGGGGTGCGGCACGTTGCAGGGGCGCCTGTCCACCTTGCAGTGTGGAGTGGGGGGAGGCGTGCACCCCCAGAGACCGAGGAACCGCTTCCCCATAGCCTGGAACATGTGGGCATGGCCGGGTCCCCAGCCACGCGGGAGGTGGGTGTGTGTATGTGTGTGGAAGGGGGAGCTGGGGTCCCCTCCCCGAGACCCGGGCCTGAGCGCTGCCTGTCTCTGGTCCTCAGGTTTGGTTCCAGAACCGCAGGGCCAAGTGTCGGAAGCAGGAGAACCAGATGCACAAAGGTGGGTGCACGCCTGTGCGCGGGGAGGCTTTGGGGCGCGGGCCGGGGGCTGGACTCGGCCACGCTGACTGGGGTCCCCGGCTCTCTCTCCGCAGGCGTCATCCTGGGCACCGCCAGCCACCTGGACGCCTGCAGGGTGGCTCCCTACGTGAACATGGGCGCGCTGCGAATGCCTTTCCAACAGGTAGCTGGCGGCGGGTGGCGGGCGGGTATGGGGGGCCTCCTCCCGGGGGACCCCAGCTCCCCCTCTCCCCTCCCCGCCCGCCCCCCGTGTCTCTTTCCCTGCCCTCTCACTCAGACCCTGGCTCCCAGAAGAAAGCTCGCTGCTTTTACAAGGGGCCATTTATAGGCGCGTTGGCACGTATTAAAACCAGGCCATAAAACTCCAAGGCACCTTGGAGAGGGTAGAAATCCAAACCCAAATGCGCTTTTACGGAATTGAGAGAGGAAAAAAAAATCCCACCTACCCCGAGCCACCCACCCGGCCGGGGCTCGAAGCCTGGAAAGGAAGGGGGGGGGGTGCCCGAGCTGGGGGTTCGGGGCCCCGCAACCCGCGCCCCCTCCTCCCCTTGACCGTGCCAGCTTGGGGCGCCTGGCGGGGCTGCTGGTCAGGGCTTGGGGTGCCAGGACCCGGCCAGCTGGGAGGTCTGGGGCCTCCTGGTGTGGGCCTAGGTGGCTTCTCCCCCTGGGGGACCCCAAATCCCCTGGGCGGCACCCTGCTGTGGACCCCAGTCGGGTGCAGCCTCTGGGCATGAGTGCCCCTCGGGGAAGGTACAGAGGGCACCGGAGAGGCCGGGGTCCTCCTAGCCCAGGCCTCTCGCCCTCGAGGCTGTGGCCCAGCTTCAGGCCAAGCCTTGGCCTGCACCATCCCGGGGGGACCCTTACCCAGGTTGGGCACTGCGGGCACCGCCCTGTCCTGACCTGGACGCCCATGTGGGCAGCGCCCGGGGGCTGCCACACGTCCTTGGAGAGGACCTGGGGAGGCCCCGGAGTCTCCATAGGTTCCCAGGGGTGCTAGTGAGGACCTCCTGGCTTCGGGGCTGCTGCGTAAAAACGCAGGGTTCACCGATTAGAGCTGGGGCGGAAGTGGGCCCACCGGGGGGTCTAGATGGACGAGCAGGTGCTCAGGGTCAGGGCTGGGCTGGGTTGGGGGGACCTCAGGTTGGGGTCAGTGTTGCATTGGGGTCGGGGGTGGGGTCAGAGTTCGGGTCAGGATTGGGCTGAAGGCTCGGGTCCCCCAAGGGCCAGGGTTCAGGGTGGGGTTGGCTTTGTGTAGAGTTGGGCAGGGTTGGACTCGGGGCTCGGGGTTCGGGTCAGGCTGCGGTTTAGGGGTACGGGTAGGGGCAGCCCGTGCGCCGCGGTCTCCAGGTCCCGGGAAGAGGAGGCACCTCGGGGGTCCGCGGGGTGCCCTCCGGGGCGCCCCCATCCACGCTGCTCTCCTCCCTCGCGCAGGTCCAGGCGCAGCTGCAGCTGGAGGGCGTGGCCCACGCGCACCCGCACCTGCACCCGCACCTGGCGGCGCACGCGCCCTACCTGATGTTCCCGCCGCCGCCCTTCGGCCTCCCCATCGCGTCCCTGGCCGAGTCCGCCTCCGCCGCCGCCGTGGTGGCCGCCGCCGCCAAGAGCAACAGCAAAAACTCCAGCATCGCCGACCTGCGGCTCAAGGCGCGCAAACACGCGGAGGCCCTGGGGCTCTGACCCGCCGTCCGGCCCCGCTGGGTCCCGCACCGCCGGCCAGCGAACCCCAAAAGCCCGTGTGACACGACCCGGGCAGGGTCCCCCCTCCACCCGGACTGCTCGTGCACCGCGCAGCCGGACCCTCGCGGAGATCCGGGGAGGCGCGCGCGCGCGCGGGAACCGGCCTTTGCTTTGCGCGCTCCAGAGCTCGCCGTGCGCCCTGGGCGCACGCAGCGTCCTGGGACCCGGTGCCAAGCCGACCCCGCGCGCGCCGTGCCCGCTCTGCTGCTGACCGAGGGTCCCCAAGCCTGTGCATGCGGCTGACCACACACCTTTGGAAGACCCTAGACGCTAGGAACACGAACACAGACACGCGCCCTGGGGCTGGTCTCCACGGACAAGTTGGAACTTCCTGACTGCGAAGCGTGTCAGTGTGAATGTGGACACGCACCCCGACCCCCAGGAGGCAGGGCTGTTTCCCCCCTGCCTCTGCCACCCCGAACCCCAAATGCAGCAATAAGCCAGTGCCCGAGGCCCCCCAGCACCTTGGAGAGGGAGGGTTGGGGAAATGACCCCGGCACCCCAATGCCAGGGGCGCCTGTGTCCCGGAACAGATGGGAGCTCCTGGTGCCCAGCAAAAGCATCCAGCTAACGTTTGCACCCTGCCTTTGATACCCCAACCCGCACCGGCACCCCGGAATGGACATGGATTTGCTTTTGTCTTTTATTTCCTGGAGGCGCGGGGTGGGGCGCGGGCGTGGGCGTGACGGAGGCCAGCGAGACAGGGGAGGACGCAGCAAGTGCAATACTGTACATAGTGGACACTTAAGGAGGCGACGGCCGGAAGGGCATCCGCCCTGTCCTGCATGTGGTGCGGGCCTGGCCGCGCGCGGTGGTCGGTGGGTGGGGGGCGGGTGGGGAGTCCTGGCCAAAATGCAGGAGGCCGTGGAGCATGGGCCAGCGCGGTCCACCGGGGTCCCAGGGGCGCAGGGCAGGGCCTGCCCCCGAGAGCCGGACCGGCGTGTGGACTTGGTGCTGGCCAGGCAGCGCGGGGCTCAGCCGGGTGTGTGGGCTGGCCCTGGTGGCCCGGTGGCTAAAGTTTCCAAAATAATTAAAGACAGGTTTGGATCCCCCGGCGTCCGCCTCGGTGTCATCTCCTTAACCCTGGACCCTGGTTCCTCTGTCTCCAAGAAAACAGCCGGATGTGGACACTGCCACCTCCCCGCCCTGTGCCAGCACAGACGCCGCTGGGAGCTGGCCGAGGGTCCCCGAGTGGACCGAGGCCCTCACGGCGAGTTACCGACACCCAAACCTTTTCTTCTTCTTCTAAAGAATTATTTGTTTTCTGTTTTTAAATGTTGGCCCGGCTCTTGCTAAGTTGGAGCTTACATGCACCCTCCCGCCTCAGCCTCCCGGAGCGCCAGGGTGGCCGGCTCCTGTCCCCTCCGACGGTCTTGAGGTTCTGACTCTGCCCCGGCAGCGGCCAGCAGCCGTGGGAGCCTCCATGTCCACCGGCAGGGCCGGGAGGGCCGCTGGGTGGACAGCCGGGGCCAGGCGAGGCCAGCCGGCTCGGCCCAGACGCCCGGCTCTGTGGTGTCCCCGGCTCTGGCTGCTGTGGTCACGGAGACCGGGCCAGGCCGGGCAGGCAGGGCTGCTCTTGGGGGGCTGTGGGGACCCTCGCTCATGCGCTCTGTGTTTGATTTTTAATTTTTAGCTTTGCAGCCAGGGACCTTGGCCGTGTCCACTGCAGGGGGCCGGGTGTCCAGCAGCGGGGCCTTCTCCCCGTGGACAGCCCGGCCGGGACTGGGGATCTCGGGGCTCCTGGGCAGAGCTCTGGCCGCCCGGTTCCAGCTGGCTGGACCCGGGTCCGGGCGGACGCAGCTCCTGCAGAACCGGGCTCCGTGGCCAGGGCTGGGCCTCCTGGGCAGCGGGCAGCGGGCGGGGTGGACACAGATGGAGACGGACGCCTGAGCTCTGTGTGGTCAGCGGGAAGCTGGACTACAGGGCTGCTGCTCTGCAGAGCCCCGCATGGCGTGGGCCTGGCCGTCATCCCGTGGTCACTGCGGGGCCGGGCACGGCCTGTGGCCACGTTAACAGGATCCCTGTTAGGGCGCAGGGCAGCTCCCCAAAGGCTGTCCTTTCCCGGGTCTGGGAGAAGTGTCCAGAGGCCACGGGGCACGGCCTCGCTTCGTAAGACAGAGGGACACAGAAGGAAAGAAAGAAAGAAAGAAACAACCTGGCCGTGTCGTGCATCGCTGGTTTCCGAGCCCCAGACCAGGATGCGATCTGTAAACCTTTTATGGGCAGCTGATATTTCACGAGCAGTCAGTCAAGGAATGGGGCCGTTTAAGAAACTGTTTATTGAAGAGAAAGTCGGGGAGCAGAAAGGACCAGCCCTGGGCGTGAGTGGCCCCGTGTTTGCCTTTTGAATTTGGTGGCAGGCTCGCGCGGTCCAGCGTCCGCTTGAGGCCGTGTGCTTCTGGGTTTCTGCAGCTCGGCCGTGTCTCGTGTTTCCTCTCCCCCCCTCTGTCTTCTCCCTGGATTTACGAGCAGCTACAGTGATTTACGGCTCGGCCGGGGATTTCTGCACACGCGTTTTGGGGGATTGTGCAGACGCGGAGAAATCACCCCGCTTTTCCCCAAACGCCCGGCCTTGGGGAAAAAATACAGAACAAAAGCGGATCTCCGTCCGTCCGTCCGTCCGTCCGCCCGGCGGGGGGAGGTGAGGGCGGGTGTGCAGAGCCCCGTTCCCCGCGGCTTCCTTCTCTTTGGGCCCCTTTCCCTCCGGCCCTGGCTGCTTCTGGGTCCCGGCACGTCGCCGTGAATTCCGGCAAAGCGTGCGGTTTGAACGTCCGGCTTGTAAAACCAAGATTTAAATAAACCTCTAAGTATTTGTATTCAAACGGTTAAAAGAAAAGAAAACAGAAAACTTATGCCCCCCCCTTTCTTGCTTGTGTTTTGGGGCCACTTGGACTCTTTTTGAGACCGGGTCTCGGTCACGGAGCCCAGGCTGGCCTGCAGCGCGCAAGAGACCCTCCTGCCTCAGCCTCCCCGCGGGCCGATGACAGGCGGCCGCCGACCAGCCCGAGAGAAATCAGCTTTTAAACGCGTCTCTCTCCCCCGCTGCGGGCCTGAAGGCTTCTTATCCGTGCGTTGCAGGCGGAGGCCTGGATTTGGGGGTGCAAAATGCAACACGGGGGCCAGCGGGGAGTGGGGGGGCGGGATCACCAGAGAGAGGCTTCCTGTGTCTGTGCCACACAGGCAGGCATCGCGGGGAGATGCAGGCAGCGCCATCCCTGCTCGGGCCCAGAGCCGGCCACGCTGCCAGGGTGACGGGGCCCGGGGCCGGCCGCTGCCCGAGGGTTGTCTTCCTGCAGACCGGCGGCACCGTGTTCTGGGTCGGCGTCTCTGGGCTTTTCGGGGCGGCCGGGGCGGCTTCCGCAGGAGCTCGAGTTAAACAGTAAAGCAGATTGGCGGCCCGGCCTGCGGTTTCCCGGTCTCCGGTCTCCGGGAGGCCGCAGGTCGCGGCTGACGCTTGAGCTCAATAACGGAAAGCCGGGATTTGGGGAAAAATGCAGGCTCGGGGAACAGCCGGCAGCTGGGCGCGGGGAGGGGACATTCGTCAGGGCACCGCTGATGGCGTGGGGGACAGAGCAGGACAGGAGGGCGGAGGATGGCAGCGACTCAGGGCCGCCGCGGGGGCCACACCGAGGTCCCGGGTGGGCCCCGCAGCTGCTCAGGAATCCGCAGAGCTAAGCATTGCCCGGGACACCGGGTGGGTGGTCGGGTGCAGGCGGGACCCCCGACCTCTGCTGGCCCTGCCGGGAGCCGCCCGGCTCCTGCGTCCTGGGCTGCGGTCAGCGAGGGGCCCGGGCACCTGCTGGACCCCGTCCCTGGGGACACCTCGCAGGCCCGGCACCCCGGGGTGCAGCTCTCAAGCTGGGGAATTTGCCGGGCTGCAGCAGGAGCCACGCGTCTCCCGGAAGCTTTACTGTGACCTGGGCACGCACAGGATGGGAACAGGGCCCTTGCACGTGCTACATGTTTTAATTAAATAAATTTAATTGATTAAATAAACACCACACCTCACCCTTGGGTGTCACAGGCGACGGAGAGGGTTCTTGGGGACCCAGCGGCAGGAGCCCCCTGCAGAATCGGCGTCGGGTAACCGGATCAGCTGCTCAAAGCTTTCTGTCCTGCTGCTTAGACTGGAATCCGGGAAACAGAATCCACCGCATCTGCTGATCCAAAGCACGGGGTGGGAATTACTGATGCACGGCTGGCTGTGCTGGTGACCCAGATGGGGAGGCTGAGGCAGGAGGAGACCGTGATTTCCTGCCCAGCCTGGACAAGGAATCTGTGGACTCAGTGATGCTGTGTCTCCAAATCGGGCTGGGGACGCAGGGCCGGTCAGAGGACGAGAGGCCGATGGGGCTCGGGGGTGCGGAGGGTGCAGTCCATGGTCGCTGCTCCAAGGCGGGAGCACCATGGCGGACGGGAAGCAGGGACAGAAGGGAGGAGCCGGGACCAGAGCCCCCCGTTTCCAGCCCTGATCATGCCCCGGAGCAGGGCCGCCCAGGAGAGCTGCCCGTGCAGACCCGGCCCGGCCGGGGAGCCTCCGCCCTGCCTGACTGTGGCTGACACGTGCAGAACTCCGAAGCCGAGCGGAGGAAATTGGAGGAGACGCGGGCTCCTCGGGGCCTCGTTACGGCCGGCCCGGTGGCCTGGGTGGAGGGCGCAGCCGCAGTGCTGAATCTGCTGCTCGGAAGGGCTTGGCGGGCGGGTGGGCGGCCCCCAGCAGGAAGCAGGTATTTGAGCGACTTTTGCACCACACGCAGAGTGAACCCCGGCACCGATCTGCAGCCCCCTCAGACCCTGGCTGTCCAAAGAGCAGCCGGGGGACAGATTCAGGGTCCGGTCTCTAAAGCCCACTCGGAGTGGACGCAGCGGGGCACCCCTGTCCTCCCAGCACTCGGGAGGCCGAGGCAGGAGGGTTGCCGTGTGTTCGGGGCCAACCTGGGCTGCAGAGAGAGATCCTGTCTCAAAAAACAAAATACAAGGACCAAAATGTCTACATGGTGAAGACGTCCTGGCTCGGTCCAGAGGGGGCAGCCCGGGCCGGGCCGAGGGCTGGTCACAGGTGCCGGGTGCCCCCGGGTTCCGATCAACTGGAGAAAAACTGCCCGTTTGTAGCAGGCTCGGTCACCACCCTGGACATCTCCGCTCTCTGCCCCTGCCCAGGTCCACCGTGTGTATTTTAGCATCGTGCATGGGGCGCAGGGGTTTGGGGCGTCCACATCCGATGGCAGCCTGGCTGCTGCCACCCCGGGGGGGGGTCCCCACACCCCGGGCTCCTCTGATGGCGGCTGGCGTCTCTGCGGCCCATTTCCAGCTTGTCTGGATTCCGGCCGGCAGGCAGCAGGCTGTGATCTTTCATGTACTTGGAAAACATCCCCGTGCCAGGCAGCTGCTGTTTACGTCTCTGTCTGTCCACTTTCTGTTCTGTTTATATGGGACGGACGGGCAGAGCCCACACTCTGATCTTCGGGGCGCTGCTCCTCCCGAGGCCACATGTCCCGAGTTCCAGCAGATCTGAGCACCCATTCCTTTTTCATGGCTATGTAATACACCCTGCCATGTGTACGGGGCACGGTGTGCTTGTCCACCCATCTGTCCATCCAGGAATGTTCGGGCTGTTTGCTTTTTGGGTGCCAAGGACAATGCTTGTGTTTTCCTGCTTTGGTGAGGACGCATGTTTCCCTCTTTAGGAGGCTTCTGATGCAGCCGCGAGCTGTCCTCCGGGAATCACGGAAAACTCTGCCTCCCTCCACCCGGTACCGTCCGCCCCTCTGTGCCAAGGTCTGCTGGACTGGCGGCTCGGTTTGC